AATATTCTTGATACATATCTCAGAATGTAAAGTACTTCATAACATGATTCTTTGCTTTTTATAAGTACATTTTATTGCTGCTTTTTAGCACACGATGGCATAATACTGTTTACTTTACTTCATAAGTTAAAATGCAAAAACATTATTAGCCAGAAATTAAAACTTAACTTGTATTGTTGTTTTCAGGCTACTAACCCAGCGGAGGAAGTGAAGACTATACTCCTAGAACAGCACACAGCAGGACCTAGTCGCATTGGAAAAAATGAAACTGTCTTTGTCCAAACAAGAAATAGTGATTAAAGAGATTTTGCAAAGTGCAAATGAACCTAGCAGATAGAATGGCCTTCAAGAATGAATCAATTGTTGGTTGAAAATTTTAGTAAGCATGGCAAATATCAATTAAATTTACCAAATGAAGCTTTGGGGATGAAGGACATGAGAGACAAAGATTTTTGTTCACTCTTTGTTTTTATTGCTCGGTCTGCTGCACTGGGGCAAAGGGCTCATGGAATCGGTAGAAACCAGAGCAAAGATCTTGTGAGCTAGAAAGAGAGCCGGTGCTAATTCGGACCAATAGTTTCCCAACCTTTTATAAACTAGAGGCTTCTTTCTTCAAAATCTTATTCCTAAAACCCAAAATAGAAAACATGTTGAAACAAAAATAATAATGAAAAACAGAGAGGCCTTGTTGAGGCTGGGAGAGAGCAACTGGAAGTTTAGAGGGACGAATGTTTGAAAACCCTGGGAAACCTAGCCCTTCAGGGCCCAGTTTGCAAAATGCTCATATGGTCAAATCCTCTCATTCTATTCTGGGCACAACAGTGAGTTTATGTGACATTACCCATAGTCACACAGCTGGTGAATGGGGAGCTAGTGTTCCTCAACTTCTCACCTGATGCTTTTTAAATACATCTTCCTCCATCCCAACTCCTCAGAGTAGGCAGGTATTGCAGTGAAACATTTAACTGAATTGCAGACTATATTTGCCTTCCCAAACCCAGATTCAGTTTACCGCAAGAAAATGAATCAAGTATCCGTGTTTTTCTTATCCTCTATAAAAGGAAAGCATTGCTAATGTAATGTATTTATTCGAAAGGGTGCCCAGCAACATAGTGAAAGGTAACATGGAGATATTTTAATATAGACTTTTTCTTGTGCTCTTCACCTTCATCAAGACTATATTATGTTTATATTTCAGTTGATTAAAACATTGGGAAAACCATACATTTGATTTCCGTGTGGGCTGCATGGTACAAGTCCCTCAATGGCCTTTAATTGAAGCAGTTAATTATTACCTTACAAATGCTAAAGGCAAGAAAGTGCTGATGGATTGCTATCTTAAGTCTTGAAAGCCTGCTAAAAACAGATGCTAGAGTTATCCTGGCCAATATCAATTTTATATATAAAGTATCCAGTTGTTAATATGAATGTCTTAATAAACATTTAAATAACATGATTCTGTTTCAAATTTTATGCTTGTTTTTGTTTTTCTTTTATTATCTTTTGATAATGGTTAAGGGATTTATAGTTGGGCATGGTTAATGCCAGGTTAATGGTCAAGTTTGTTCTCAGAGTCAGTATTTATAACTCCAGTTACTTAAGGACAGGAGTCGAGGTCTAGAGCCTGAGTAATTTAAATGGCTGGAGCTGAGAGAACATCATGGACAAAACGACATTTAGTGGAAAATCTCAACAATAGGCATATCTTAAAATGAATTATTTGTTAAAACATAATATGTCTATATGTATTTTAAAAAATTATCTGTTGTGTCATAAAAAGAAAATGTAACCAATTTTAACACAGAATACAAACATTTTTACAGCCTAAAAAGAGAAAAATAAAATTTTAGAAAAGATTTTGACTATTTACAAAATGTAGATATTTTGCTAAAAAAAAAGTCATGGAAATAAAAATTGTGTTGCAACAGTGCATAACTAAATCAGAACAGAACAGCAATTCCTTCATTACACAAGTTACAGAAAGACTTGATATTTCCATGACACCAAGAGATGCAAAAACCAGGGTGTAGCACTAAACAAATGGTCCCGGCTTAATAGTTTGAATTTATTTAAAAATTTACAAAACAGAATTTAAGTGTTATGTAAATGTAAAACCCAGTTAGTCAGTGTTACATGCACATTGGGTTGGGAGAGAATAAAACTGCTTTCGGCAATGTCACAGAGTCACAGAATCTCAGACCTGTCATGAACTTCAAATAACATCTACTCCAATGACTTTCCTGATTCTTGCATCTTTCTCATAACTTCCCAGCCTATCAGTCATTTAAACTTTGTCCATGTATCTCTAGTGGTGGAAGAGAATAGTTGAATGGTGCTAAGTAGAAAGTTCAGATGATTTTAGTCAACTATTCTCATGTTTAATTTGCTATGATGCTATGAAATATCAGTGGTCTAAAGAACTGTGGAATGAGAGCATAGTTTTGGAGGGATAAAAGTAAGTCAAAATAGGCTGCTGGCCCAGCGGCCGAGTGGTGAATCTGAGAAGGTTGTGATAATAAGGGTAAAATAGATAATTGTTATATTAAAGTGCATGTAAAAGTTTAAATATAGCAAGAGAATGTGACATTTGTAAGACAACTTATGATTCCATTTCACCACTGAAAATCAAGAAGTATATTAGTAATTGAAGATCAAGTGTTAACACTGATAATTGATCAGAAACCGGATGAGGAAGAGAATGCAACTGAAATGTCCTCCCAGTTTTTCTGGACTCTTAAAGGATAATCTTGACTGGGGAAGTTACTGCCTCTGGCTTGGCTGGCTCCATCATTCTGGTTTTGTCCAGACCAACTGGAAATAGAAATAATTGTGTGTTTATCTTTCTTTTTTTTTAGGCTAGATGCAATGGTCCGTTTTTGAACAAGGCATCTTATTAAGATAAAAAGGAATGTTTTTTTTTTTGTTTTCTTTTTTTTTTTTTGCTTTTAATCCTAGGAAACTCTAAGACCTATGTTTCTTACTTATAAGTAAATTTTACAGATTTTTTTTTTATTAAAAAAAAGAGAACATCTCTCTCATGCGAAGTTAGGTATAGGGAATATTTTGCCTTATCCGAAAAGTAATTTAGATGCTGTGGTTGTGAGCTACATTATGGCCGAGACTTCATCAGTGCGTATTGCGTACATGCTGTGTGTCCGACTCTAAGCTACCAGCTCCTAGAAAGAAAGTAAAATAAAAACTATAGTCCTGGAAAACTAACTCCTTATTTCCTGCCTAAGAAGGCATATGTATGTGTGTGTCTGTGTGTCAGTGTAGGTGTGGGTATGGGTATGGAGTATGGGATGTGGACAGGTATTTGCTCAACCCACGACAAGGAGGTGCCTCAGGCCAGAGCAGTTTTTTACCCTTACGGAAAGAACATTCTAAGAGCTAAGTGAGAAACCAAAACCCAGTAAGAAAGAGTTGATAGGGTTGATGGCTAGAGTTGACCAACCATGTGCGGAGTTGCTTCAGGATTGGGTCTTTTCTAGGTAAAAGCAAATGTTGAGGCTGAGTGAGAGTCAGAGTCAAGTAGAGGAGCAATAAACAGTGAGTCAGCGTGAGGAAGAATAACCCTACGTCATCACTGAGTTTGGATTTTGCTATCCGTGGCCAGTTATAATTTGGTATAGAAGGGGCAGTCAGCCATTGAAAGACTCCAAAACAGCAGAGGACTTAGTTAAGAATGTTGTTATATAAGAAGGGGTGGTTGGGGGGTGAGTATCTGCAAACTAACATGATTATTTCTTAACATATATAATTTTACATATATATATCACACACATATACACATACATACATATATGCACACACACATACATATATATATGCAAAAAATTATTTTAGGTTCTAGAGTTTTTCATTTAAAATACTCCTCAGAGCCCTTATGAAGATAATGATGGTCTTATTGTCATTTTTTTTTTTTTAATTTTGGCACCCGAGCTAACGTCTGTTGCTAATCTTTTTTTCCTCTTCTTCTCCCCAAAGTCCCCCAGTACATAGTTGTATATTCTGGTTGTAGGTCTTTCTGGCTCTGCTATGTGGGACGCTGTCTCAGCATGGCTTGATGAGTGGTGCTAGGTTGGCACCCAGGACCCAAACCAGTGAAACCCTGGGCCGCTAAAGCAGAGCACATGAACTTAACCACTTGGCCATGGGGTCGGCCCCTGTCATTTCTTTTAATGTATTATTCCTTTGGTGTTTTACCTTGAGATCATGTCTGAATCATTATCACCCAGGCAAAGTTTATGTCTTAGTTATAACCAGTAATTTGTAGAATTCTAAATTGGAAGATACATGTCTGGCTATTTCCTGCAAAAGTCAGACAGAATAGATCTCTGCTTTCAAAGATAGAGTTTTGAAGATTCTCTAGCTGTGGTTCGGTATGAATCTAGAGAGCCACTTATCTAGAAAATGTGCATTACCTAACAGTCAGACTCTACATCTCAATATAACATTGTGAAATAATTTTTTTTTTTTTTTGCTTTTTCTCCCCCAATCCTCCCAGTACATAGTTGTATATTTTAGTTGTGGGTCCTTCTAGTTGAGGCATGTGGGATGCCACCTCAACATGGCCTGATGAGTGGTGCCATGTCTGCACCCAGGATCCGAACCAGCGAAACCCTGGGCAGCCACAGCAGAGCATGCGAACCTAACCACTTGGCCATGGGGCTGGCCCCTGAAATAATTTTTTAAAGATCTTTTTAGGGGGAAAAAATAAACCTGTAAAAGAAAATAGCATCTATGCATTTGGATATGCATGAAATAAATGCCTTCAACTATATTCCTCATGGATGTCAAGCAACAAGATGGTTTCAATTATTTAATACACCATCTTGTATTACAAATTCAAACACCAGAAGGATATTTATTTGAAGGGCAACCAGATTAATGTTGTTAATTATTTTAGAGCCAGCCCTGATGGCCTAGTTGCTAAAGTTTGGCGCTCACCACTTCAGCGGCCCAGGGTTCACTTCCTGGTCACGGAACCACACCACCTGTCTGCCAGTTGCCATGTTGTGGCAGTGGGTCACATAGAAGAACTAGAACAACTTACAAGTAGGATACGTTGTAAGGATATGTACTGTGTACTGGGGCTTTGAGGAGGAAAAAAAAAGAAGATCGGCAACAGATGTTAGCTCAGGGTGAATCTTTCCCTGCAAAATAAAAGAAAAATTATTTTAATTATCCTAAAGCCATGAGAAAGGATGACATTTTCCAAGCTTGTTTATACTCTCTTGTTCTGCTTCTACATTCAGATCTCCAGTGTATTATCTTCTCTGGGGGCACTGTTACATTTGAATGGCCATATGCAAGTTTCAAATTTTCCTGGATTTTTTCCAGCTCCATTATTATTTCTTGCAATTCGTGGGGCAGCTGAAATAAGAAGAATAGGGAAGAAACTTACAAGAAATTATCATTAAAAATCTCAGCAGATATTTCATTAATAAAAAATTTTAGGAAAATGTGACAATGATAGCATGTCTGATCGAGTTTTGATTCTAGAGAGGGGGAAGAGAAGCAAAAGCTAAACAGATACATTAACATAATTAAAGATTTTAGTAAATACCAATAAATAGGGTGCTATGGTAATGAATTACTGGGGAGGCCTAATGAGACAAGGCTGGTTAGGGAAGATTTCTCAGAGCAGGTCATTTTTGAAGTATATCTTGAAGAATGAAAAGAATTTGACCAGGCTAAGAATGAGAAGTTTGGAGTTCCTGGTCCACAGAGGGCTCCCTCACATTTCTGCTCCTTAATTCATGGTTTTCCTTGAGCCTGGCATGTCTGTCCCACTTCTCCCCCACAGCCTGACTCAGACTTTCTTATGCTTTAGTATTCAGCTCAAGCATCTATCTGCTAGGAAGTTATTCCTGAATCTTTGTTTTTGTTCTCCAGGATGTGTTAGATACCCTTTCTCAGTGTTGCTTTAATATCCATAAATATCTCTCTTAACAGACTTCCCTATTACACTAAAATGAGCCTTTACTCTGTCTCATTCCTCTTTATAATCCTAGAATCTAGCACTTTGCTTCATAAATTGTGGTTGAAAAAATGAGAGATTATTATTCACGAAAACTGCGAATGAAAGCTTTGAGCCATGAGACAGCCAAGATGCAATAAAACCTTTTAACTGAAACTCCTCCAGGCCCAAACTATCAACAGAAAAGTACACTTTTTAACCTATCTTTTCTCTCTCTCATTTCTCACTTTCTTTGCTTGGTGAAGGGGATTTTTCTTTTCTTCCATAAATTCATCATTTTTCTTCATCAGAGCCTATATACATTGGAAGAAGGTAAAGAAAGAAGAGCATAACAATGAATTTTTCACTATTTAAACATTGTTGTTATCTTTATATCTGCTTGTTTTTGAAACAAAAGAAGATACTGTAAAATCAATTATGGTCTAAAATTTGAGTGAATTTCTAGGGTATATTATTAAAATTATGTCTGTAGGCTAGAATAAAAATTGAGTGAATTATTAGCATAGAGACGATCGATTTAGCTGTAGCATTTGGTCAAATTAGTAGGCGACCACAATGAACTGTTAATTCACCCTGTAATCTGGAGGTGAAATTGAAGGTTTTAATTCAAGTTTTGCTACGTCAGTTTATAAACTGACCCTATATTATTAAATTTACTCAAGTAGTTTTCTCTCACTGTCTCCATGGTAGGGAGAATTGCTGCCCCCCAAAGATGTCCTCGCCTTGGATGTCCTAGTCCCCAAAACCTGTGAATATGTTAGGTTACATGGCAAAGGAGAGCTAAAGTTGCAGAAGGAATTAAGGTTGCCAATCTACTGACCTGAAATTAAGGAGACTCTCCTGGATTGTCTGGTTGGGCCTAATGTAATCACAAGGGTCCTTAAGAGTGGGAGAGGGAGGCAGAAGAGGAGAGTCAGAGGCGGAGATGTGATGACAGAAGCAGCGTCAGAGAGATGCTATGTTGCTGGCTTCAAAGTCAGAGGAAGAGGACCACAAATGAAGGAATTTGGATGGCTTTAGAAGCTAGAAAAGGCAGGAAATGAACTTTCCCCTGGAGCCTCCAGGAAGGAATGCCACCTTGCTTGACACCACCATGTGAGTCCAGTGAGATCTGTTTTGGATTTGTGACCTGCAGAACTCTAAGATAATGAATTTGTGTTGTTTTAAGTTACTAAGTTGATGGTAATTTGTTATAGCTGCAATAGAAAATGAATACGGTCTTCACTCCTCAAAGCTAAGTTTGAAAAACAACTCAAGAGAAAAATAACATTGCTATTTAGTCAAGTGCATTGTTAATTTCATAATTGCATGAGAAGTTTTTTTTTTCAGTGAGGAAGATTGGCCCTGAGCTAACATCTGTTACCAATCTTCCTCTTTTTGCTTGAACAAGATTGTCCCTCAGCCAACGTCTCTGCCAATCTTCCTCTATTTTGTATGTGGGATGCCCCCACAGCATGGCTTGCTGAGTGGTATATAGATCTGCACCCAGGATCTGAACCTGCGAACCCTGGCCGCCAAAGCAGAGTGCACGAACTTAACCACTACGCCACCAGGCTGGCCCTGGTATTTTAAATTAAAATTGCAATTAAGGGGTATAACTTCTCATACTGACTCAGGTGAGATTATTGAGAATTAGGTAAGCTCCCCAGCCTAACCTTCTAAATCTCCCTTCACATTTCTCTCAGATGAGTCCTGTGTCTTACAACGCGGGACTGCCTCAGAGTGTAAAGAAGTTTCAAAAGTGACTTGCGGCTGTGAAAGTTCTTTGTTTCTTCCTCCAGGACACCATATCAACACTGACACTTGAAAAGATACAGAATTCTATAAATTATCTACCACTCCCTGTTTCAGCCTTTTAAAAACATAAATACATGATTAAAACAGTAGTTTTCTGCAAACAAGAAAAAAAGTTGGAATCACTTCATGGCAGCCATATTAAGCATTACTCTTTAGCACTAGGATAAGAATCTTGAAGGCTGAGAAAGAACTAGCCTGCATGTGTTATCTGACTTAAAGAAAGTTGCTGCAAATAGTTTTGAACCATTTCCCTTCCACAAACTGACAATGAAAACAGCAGAGGGAAGAAGAGAAGAAATGTGTGGATAACGCAGCAGTAACGAAGTTTAATATTAAAACGGAGATGTTTGTTTTCCAATGCTCGTTGTAATCATCTCTGTGGGCCTATTTAGTATTTTATATGAAATTACCTTTCTGGGAGATGGTTGCCATTCCGATGCTACCTTCACTGTACCTCGCCAATGTTTGTTCTTCTGCGCTATTTGGTCATGATATGCTCCCAACAGTCTCTTCGTATCTTTATTTTCCTCTCATGGTCATTCTCTATAGATGAGAAAGGATTGGAGGATCCTTGAAAAATACGTTAGCTAAACATAAATACGCTCCTTACTACTTGGGCGTATTCTATAGGATGAGACCTCAACAAACCCCTTATTGTAGAGAGAGACAGTAACTGTCAAGGTCACCTGTTTCTTATTGTGCTGTTATTACGAACAAGAGGAGGAGCTGGGAACCCTGGAGCTCATGTCTCCACGCACTTGAGCATGGGTGGCAAGTCACTTTTCAGCCCAATGGAATCAACACCGGCCTCGAACTAAATGGTAACACACAGTGTTCTGTGGCCGGGTCTTGATTCCACAGATATGCTCACATATTGGAAAGGTTACCTTTTGGCTTCAGAAATCTAATCTCAGCAGCTTAAAAGCAGACCCTCAACAGAAGGTAACCTTAAACACAAACCCCCACTAGGGTCTGTACACAGACAATTTTGTTTTGACAATCTTTCCTGCTCTTTCAAAGCTTATGGGGATTTTGCAAATCGTGCTTTATTTAGTATTTCTCTGTAACTCTCTGTAAATGAGGAGAATAATAAATTTAGTGATAGAGATGGCTCAAATTTGGAGAGACTGGAAAAGGATCAAGGTCTTAAAGAAACAGCAGTAAGTTCTCTTATGTAGGCATATCTCCTGCTGAATTCCGTATCATGAGCACCACTGACTGTCACATTTTTCATATCACAATATCTGATTTTTATATCTCTATCTATTAACATTTGGGGATTTATTTTAAAAAGTCAGCAGGAAACTAGAAATAGAGGCACAAATTTACTAAGGAACAGGTCAACTGCAGTGTCTCAGCAATCGTAAGAGAATCAAAACTCACATTTCTGGGGGCCAACCTGGTGGTGTAGTGGTTAAGTTTGCACACTCTACTTCGGTGTCCTGGGGTTCACAGGTATGGACCTAGCACCAATTGTCAAGCCAGGCTGTGGTAGCATCCCACATAGAGTAGAAGAGATTTGGCACAGATGTTAGCTCAGGGCCAATCTTCCCCCCCCACCCCCCCCCCCCACACACAAAATAAAAACCCTCACATTTCCAAATTTCATTGAGGGAATGATTAAAACTCACTTTTACTTATTTGAAATGTTTTTATACATGGAAGACTTTAGAAACTGAGTATGAATTAACATGAACATTTATTTCTCCCCACTAGAATATAATCTCTGTGAAGGAAGAGATTTTGCTTCGTTGGCTCATTGCTGCATCCCCAACACTTAGCATCTTGCCTGGCCCAGAGTAGATAACTGAAAAATATTAGTTGATTAGTTCAATAAATTAAAAAGAGTCTGAAACAGTTAGAAACTAATGAATATTATGAAAAAAACTTAGTTGCACTTCAACTTAATGCAGACATTATTGATTCTTGAGTTCTTAATACCTGGATGAAATTAAAATCTAGTCGTGGTAACTGAGATGCAGATTTATGTGGTTGTTATTAAATACTCACAGTAGTTTACCCGGATTGTGCTCCTATATACAAAAAGAGGATGCCTTTCAATTGTATCAACTCTCCTTGCCTATCCTCAGCATTTGTCAGGCTTATGTATATTGGGGCAGGAGCGAAAATGTGGATAACCTGTGTTTTTGTGTATGTTTGTATGCATGCATATATGTGTGTATTTGTCTAGATATCATCCCACTTATAGACCCACAAGATAAGTAAGTTCTTAATATTTTTAGAGGTAGGATCAGATATGCGTGCTTTCCTCTACACTGTTGGTCAGTAGAGGGAGCTGTCGTCTGCCACTGCAGCATGACTGTGTAGGTACAGATTCATTTTCTGTGAGAACCTGAACCTCAGTAGTACCTTTAACTGAAATAAAAACTATAGATTTTGATCGGTAGATGTGCCAATAGGCCAATCAGACAAATTAAGACCTAGGAGGAAGTAACATAAGACACATCATAGAGCATGTTATACTTTTGAAAAGAAAGATGGTTCTAATGCTAGATAATAAATTGGGTCAGTGGTAAATCATTAGGATTTATGTATAATAGCATTGCTGTGGTAGAAAAGGTGTATCGTTCTTCAACCTTCTTTTCTCATAAACTTCATTGCTTAATTATTTGTTTTTGTGTATGTTGCATTTGGTTCATGTCCTTGGTCATCTGCAAAAATTCAGAGAAAAAATATAAAAATTAAAAAGTAGGAAAAGAGAAGCTCGTATGACATATAAACTAACTTTTTAAAGTGTAACACAATGCTTTCAAGACTCATCTCAAAAATTTTTGTCGTCTACTATGTATAGGCTCTATATTAAACGCTTTTCAGATATTTTCTTATTTAATTCTCAAAAAGCATCTTCACAATTGGTCTTCTTAATCAAATTTTACAGGTAAGAGAATCACTATCTCGAAAAGATAGACTTCTAAAGTCTCACACTACTAATAAGTGGTTAAGTTGACATTTGAACATCAATCTTTTGACTCTAATTCCTATGTACTTATCTTTTCTTCTAAATTACTCCTCTGATCAATTGTTCACCCAGTTCTGGTACAAGCCAACTACATGGGATTATTCTCTCTTCAGAGATAAATTTCCTCTTCCTCATTCTCACGGACTGTACTTGAGAACAAAATCTTGCTCAACTTCACCATGTGGTAAAGGCTCTGATGGCACTCTAAGAATCTGTTATCTTTATGTTAAGAAGTCTAAGGAGAGCCTGCTGTTCTGCTCTGATCTGGTCTGGCCTGGCCTACAGCAGAATGTTCTGGGAACCTGAGGTGGTCAGTGTTTCGTCACCTGTCTAGAATGTTTGGAACTGACAGAGACTATGAGGTTGATTCATCAAGAAGCTGACTAGGGAACAATAAACAAAACCTGTCCACATATCCCCACTGTGGCTTTGTTAATGATATTGATTTTGCATTTACTACAATGTCTAATCATAATGCCTTATGATTGCATTTTGGGTGTAAGAAAAGATGTTCTTTTTTTTTTTGAGGAAGATTAGCCCTGAGCTAACTGCTGCCAATCCTCCTCTTTTTGCTGAGGAAGACTGGGCTGAGCTAACATCCATGCCCATCTTCCTCTACTTTATATGTGGGACACCTACCACTGCATGGCTTTTGCCAAGCGGTGCCATGTCCGCACCCGGGATCCCAGCCGGCGTACCTCAGGCTTCCGAAGTGGACGTGTGCACTTAACCGCTGCACCACCAGGCCGGCCCCAGAAAAGACGTTCTAAATCCAAACCTTTCATTAATCAAGATTACCATCAGCATATGTTATTCAAAAACTAACTTGGGTCTTATTTGTCGACACTCATCAAAATGGAAGGTGAGTTATTGAATAATTTCATTTAATTATTGGAAATTGCATAGAAAATATATCATAATAAGCATAAGCTCTGTTGAAATGGAGTCATTATTCATAAATTTTTTTGGGTGTATTTATATAATTGTTTGCCAAAGACATTATTTCATAATGAGCTTATTGTAAAGATACTACTATCTATATTGGCAATTCTTACACTTTGATTTTGTGTGTTATAGGTGGGTTCTTATCCTATTTTTAACATGTAATCTCCAAATTAATACCACTGTGATTTTGTTCATCAACTCTTGCTTAACCTGACCTATATTATGTCCAACAGGTTGAATGACTAGTCCCTTAAAGGTAGTTAAATATTATTATATTAATTTTATTATTTATTTAAAAGTGCAAAATGGGAAAAAAGTTTTCAAATGGGGAAAAAAACAGCACCCACTTCATAAGGTTGACGAGTTTAAATGACTTCATATGAGGAAGGCAACTAGAACTTGGCCTGGTACAAAATAAGAACTATATTTATCGCTTTTATCTAATTTGACTCAAATATTTAGATGTTTATAAATCCTGAGCAGCTCACATATTCATTTAACGTTTATTCTTTCAGCCTCTATTACATGCCACGTGTTATACTAGATTCGAGGGCTATATCCATGAACCAAACAGACAACGATGCCAGCCTTGAGTTTTTACTTATACCAATTGTTATCATTGTAGCCTCTCCAAAATTCCAGCTTATGAAAAATATTATTTGCTAGTTCAAGATTTTTGCTTTTTAATCTTAGTGATGTGTCTAGTTGCAGAAATTGGTTATATCTCTAAACCCAACGCTCTTTGCCTCACTTCATACTATTTTTAAGCCAAGTACAGCACCTAACACAGACTAAAGGCTTATTCCATGCCACATTTCCTATGTTACAAGAAATTATTGCCTCATGACCTACATTAAATATTTATATCGATTACAAGGTGCATCTCAATTTCAAAAAAAAGTGAAACTGTGAAAGAGAAAAGGCACCTTAGCACTGAGAAAATATAGTATTTCTATTTTTATTATTAAAGATTATATCATCAACTTGACATAAATATAATCTTTCACAATGTAACACAAAGCAAAGAATTTGTTGTTATTGACAACCAGAGTCATTCAATATAATAATTAACAAGATATCTCATAAGATTTTTAGCCAAGTTACATAGTATATAACAAATTGAAAGGTTTCAATTAATTTGGAAAATTTAAATAAAATTTACTTTAAATGAAATTGGAAAAAATATTTAGTTGCATGTACACATAATTTCCAAAGGATTTTTGGATATTCTATTCAAAGTGTCTGGTTTTTTCTAAGTGACTCCAAATATCTATAATCTGCAATTATGGGCTACAAGGTTGGTATATTGAACAAATGTTTCGGATATTTAATTAGCTCAGTTGACTTTCCGGGTGTATTCTTGTTCACATTTGTTTTTTATTTTTCTGTATGAACTAAATGGTACGTATACTCATTCTTGAAAATTCTGGAAGGTGAATAGTGGCATTCTTAAATTTTGGAATTGCAAATGCCTTTGGACATCACTGTTCCAATATTCCATGATCTACTGCATAAGAATGTGCCACAACAGGATAACCAAACCTGACTTGTGAGACTATTATTACTTTTATTTTCATAAAGACTTCCCACATCAATCACCAAACATATACTTATTGCTATATTTATGACCACCCCCAGGTTACTTGGCAACACTACCTAGCAATGAGGCAGTGCAGACTTCGCTGACTTGGTCCACAGCTATTCTGGAGAAAAATGTATTATTTAACAGTTTGCTCTAGGATTTTATTCTGCAGATGTGATTAAATTGTTAATATCCCACTGCAAGTAGCCCAGTGATGAAGATCTTGTCGAGAAGGAAAAGTAAGGAATCATTAAAGAATATGAGTAAGAAGCCACGATGGAAAATTATCCCAACTCCAGTCATTATTCAGTGATTTTCAAGTGCATTCTTGTCTACTGATTCTGAAATTAAAAAATTCTCGGTAGGTAATGCTGATGTAGGATATATTCAAACTCTTTGGAGGAATGGAAATTACCTTTACATTTAAGGAGGGATTTACCAGGTTGAAAAAAAGGTGTTATCTTTCATCCAAGGCGTCATTGAGCTGGTGTTTTAGGGATATTTAAGGTATCATCAGTCTGGAAGACATCCCTTAAAAGAACACTACAAAGTATCTTTGTTATTGAGCTTGGTTTTACATATTTACAAAATGTTTGTAAGAGCACACACTTGTTTATTTTATTTGCTTGGTTTTCTAGGATGAATTTTGTAGTATTAGTTAGGTAGATGTCAGTCAATGACTCAATGGGTAAATGTTAAAGAATTGCCTATATGCCTAGATTCTTTGTATACACTTACATACATTTGTTTCTACACAAATCAGCAAAAACAAAATACGTTTGCTGGACCCTGTTCTTTCATAGAGAATGTACTTACCTTGGTGATAGAGGACATAGCTAAAGCATTTGGAATATAGGGCTGCTTTCTTGGGAAGACTTTCAGCTCAACTGGCCTCTGAGTATCTTCATTAGCTACTTTCAGTTTGTTTTCATAGGCCACTGTTGGTATAAAGTTAAATAAAAATAAACATAATGAAAAATCCTGGGTTGCTGAGAAGCATAAATAAATAAATAAGTAAACATTTACATAACTATAAATTTTTAAACATTCACAAATCACATTAGCACTTTCTATTCCAGTATTTTTCTTGTTATTCAAGATTTTTATCAGCTATTGCTCAAATAAGTAACATATCTACATTTGATTCATCAATGAATCATCAGTGAATTATACATTTATTTGCATATCACATTCATGATTACATTGAAGAGTCATTCTAAATACTAGACTAAGAATCCTTCTAAGAATTCAATGCTCTTTCTATTTACTAGTTTGACTTACATATATATGCATTAGAATTAGAACACATCACTGCAAAACTCACATAGTTGAAGGTTTGCATCTTACGGATGAAAAAACTGAAGCCGGGAGAGGCTAAATGATTTGCTCAATTCCAAAGCCACTTGATGATAATGCCGTAAACAAAGTTCTGTTTTTCTGACACTGACTTTAATGTTTTTTTCACTAAATTAGATTTTAGAAACATTATTGAGCCTGCACTGATGGCCTAGTGGTTAAAGTTTTGCACACTCCACTTTGGCAGCCCAGGTTCAGTTCCCAGGTGTGGAACCACACCACTTGTCTGTCAGTAGCCATGCTGTGGCAGCAGCTCACATAGAAGAACCAGAAGGACCTACTACTAGAATATGCAACTATGTACTGGGGTTTGGGGGAAGAAGAAAAAAGGAAGATTGGCAGCAGATGTTAGCTCAGGGCAAATATTTCCCAGCCAAAAAAAAAAAAAAAAATATATATATATATATATCTCACTTCCTAGTTATTAAAAACAAGTATCAATATATGATTAAAATAAGCTAACTTTGGGAAATCATTGACCTCTTTTTCTCTAGCCTAGAGAAAAATGTATCTCTGACACATAATGAAGTATTATGTTACACTATTTTTCGTAATTTATATCCTCCTACCATATAGTGGATTCAATAATGTCCCCCCCAAATTCATGCCATTTGGGGCCTCAGAATGTAACCTTTTTTGGAAAGAGCATTTTTGCAGATGTAATGAGATCATACTGGTTTAAGGATGGCCCTAAATCCAGTGACTAGCATCCTTATAAGAAGAGCCGTGCACACACACACAGACACACAGGGAAGACCGTCTGAATACGGAGGCGGAGAGCAGCGTGATGCAGCTAGAAGCCGAGGAATGCCAATGCTTGCTGGGAGCCACCAGAAGCTGGGAGTGAAGGGAGATCTCTGATACATAAAGTATTATATTCTTTACTTTTCTTTGGTAATTTATATCCTATCACTACTTCAACAATTATTTGATTCAGCTTTGAATACAGTCTTAAAATTTTGGTGTAACATACACTTGTTTTTACTTTGGTTTTATAATTGCTTTTTACCAGTAAACAGAAATATATTGATATTTAAATACTTACCTTGTATCCAACAACATTGCTAAATACATTCACAAATCCTATAGGTTGACCACAGATTTTTTTAATGTCACTACCATGTCAACTGCATATTATAATGTTTTATCTCTTCTTTTGCAGTTTACATGCCTTTCATTTATTTACTTTGGACCTCTGTCACAATGTTGAACAGCAGCGGTGATAGTGGACATTTTTGTTCCTTGTCTTCTTCTTAATTTCAGGGAAAACTTTCCATATTGTATCGTTATGTTTTGGTTGCTGTGATGTTTCAGTACTTAAACTTTATCATATTGAAGGAGTTCTCTTCTAACTGTTGAGAGGTTTTGTGTGTCATGGATGTGTGTTAAATTTTATAAAATGATACTTGCATCTGTTTGAGACAATTGTTCTCTTCTATTTTGTTAATTTAGTAAATTACATTATTTTGTTATATTTTTATTTATTTTTTTGTTTTTCATAAATATTGGTACCAGAGCTAACAACTGTTGCCAGTCTTTTTATTTTCTTCTCCCCAGAGATCCCCATTATATTCTAGTTGTGAGTGCCTCTGGTTGTGCTATGTGGGATGCCGCCTCAGCACGACCTGACGAATGGTGCTATGTCCACACCCGGGATCCAAACTGGCGAAACCCTGGGCCACTGAAGCAGAGAGCACGAACTTAATCACTCTGCCACGGGGCAGCCCTGTTATGTGTTTAATTGCATTAAATTCCTGGAATAACCCAAACTTGGTTATGCTATACCATTCTTTTAGTATCTCTGTATTTCATTTGGCTATATTTTGGTTGAAATTTTTATATGTATGTTCAGGAAAGAGATGGCTCTATATTCCTTTCATGTGATCTTTCTCCTCAGGTTTTGATATCAAGGTTATACTAGCTTCATAAAATGAGTTGGAATGCATACCCTCTTTTTCTAATCCATACAAGAGTTGTGACATATTATTGCCCGTTATCTCTTCAGATGTTACTCCCACCATTACCTCTTCTCTGAACTCAAGTTTCACGTATGTTAGAACTTTTCAGGGCCAGCCCGGTGGCATAGTGGTTAAGTTCCTGTGCTCCGCTTTGGCAGCCCAGGGTTCGTGAGCTCAGATCCTGGGCGTGGATCTGCACGCTGCTCATCAAGCCATGCTGTGTTGGCATCCTGCATACAAAATAGAGGAAGACTGGCACAGATGTTAGCTCAGGGACAATCTTCCTTAAACAAAAAGAGGAAGATTGGCAACAGATGTTAGCTCAGGGCTGATCTTCCTCACCAAACAACAGCAACTTTTCACCATGTCACTAACATATGTTTCCTACATTATTTTGTATATTTTCCTTCCATCCTTTTCCCTTGAGATATTTTCTTCTGGCCTGTCTTCCATTTCCTGTCTCCTATCTTCACTTGTGAGAACCTGCTATTAAAAGCACTATTGAGTTCTTAATTTCAATTATCTATTTTCTGTTCTAAGATTTTCACTTGATTCTTTTTCTGGTTTCTAGTATTCTATCGAAAATCTCTACCTTACCATCTAATTTCTTAGATTATTATTCTCACTTATTTTGAATTCCAATATCTGGATCATCTGTGTCTCTCTATTGCCTGGCTTTTTTTCTTTTGGTTTTTAGTTACCTGGTCTTGTGTCCTGGCATGTCTGGTAATTTGCCAGAAATTTAGTAGGAAAAATTTAGGTGATAATTTAAGGCTCTTGATATTATCTTCCTCCACAGTGGACTTATTTTGCTTTTGCAGGCATTTACATTAGCAGAAGACCACTTCATTCCAATAAAGCATTGAGGTGATTTAAAGCTGAATTTCATCCTCTGTGAGGGCTGATCTCTTTCCAGTTCCCTTTATTCCTTAGAAATAGCTCTTGGTAAGAAGGGTTCAAGTTAAAAGTCTGGGAAGTTTACTAGAGCACTTACTGGTATCTGAATGATATCTCATCTCTTTTCTCTCCCAGTCCCCTAAGACTTAAAATATCTGCTTGGAATCTTTGCTTCTCCACTTCTCCTTGGAAATTACCAAAGTGGCACTGAACATATTCGTGCTCCTTTCTCTCCAAGATCTTGGCCCTCGTTTCTTTGTTTGGCATTTATCTGGTTCCTTCAGAGGCTCTTCTATTTCTCAGAAGTTATCTTGTCTCTCTATCTCACCTTGACGTTTTTGTAAGTTCCCTGGGATACAGATGCTTTCCCTCGCTCACTGCAGGTCTGTATTTGGGTAATCAATCCTGATTTAGAGTGCCCCTTTCCAAAACACTGGTCTAAAGTTGCAATTGATAATTTATACCTGTGAACCTCCCACCATCAGGAACCTAGAAGATAATTTTCAAGAAACATGGCACTAGGGAGAGGATGAAGGGAGAGACATTTGTTTTGTTTTGTAACTTTTGCTTTAATTTGGATTTATGAATGAAAATTCCTATTACTGTATTTAAAAAGAAGACTTTTAGCCTTTATTTATTTTGTTCTGTTGTCCACATATAAGACAGTGAAGGCACTGCATGATTGCTTAAAATGCTTAAACTTTGTATACACTTCACCATCATAAATATTTTTCTTTTGTTCATATTTCTCCAAATCTCTGCCCATAGAAGTAGAATTATTGCTTATTGCTATGGATCAACTATCTTTTGTATAATGAGCTTTTTTTCATTGACAATCCTACTATGAACATTTTTACTTATTGATACTCTCCACAAATTTTAATGATTTCAAAATTTTTTCTATTATAAATAATGCTGCAATAAGCAGATACATAGACAAGATTTTTTCATTCCTTTCCACTATCTTCTTTGAATAAATTCTAAAGATTGAGAAGCAAAAAAGAACAGTAGCTAAATAGGCTTTGAAGAATTAAGAACTTGAATTCCATTCTCAGTTCTACAACATTCAGTTTGACTTTAGGCAAATGATGACTCCTTTCAGGGTACATTTTCCTCATTTGTAAATTGGTAAAAGCAATACCTGCTGCTTAGTGTTGGTGTGGAGATTCAATGGGCTAATGTAAAATTAAAATATATATAAGGAAAGTTTTGCTGGTGATGGAGAAGTTTACAGGATAGATTGGGATGATGCTTTCACAGGTGTATACTTATTTCCAAACTCATCAAGTTGTAACCATTAACTACATACAGTTTTTTTGTATGTTAATCATACCTCAATAAAGTGGTTTAGAAAACAAATTAAAATTTATTTCTCACCAGATAGTTTTTAAGTCACTCAATAAAGAGTAGCTGTTATTTTTATCATACTCATTCTCATCAATAACAGATAAAAGAATATGAATGTTTTTTGGAAAACGATATTTTGGTTGACTTGCATCAGTAGAACACCTCTTCATATATGGTTTACTCCTATGTTTGCTCCGCCTTTTGTATATCAGTTCTTGACAGATTTATATTTTATCAGTACAGCACCAAAAACTGTTTTTTGAATACTCTCTGTAATGATGAGGAAATTGAAACATTCTTTATTGTGCTAGAATTAGTAGGAAGAATAGGCTATTTATATGTTACTTATCTTGGTTTGGGTGTGTTTTATCAAACTTGTT